TAGTGGAGAGGCAGCAGCTGCTTCTCGCCTTAGCCGAGCTCGCCCTTCCAAGGTTTTAATTAAAAAATTCCAGTCAGGAGTGTTTTTCATTTCATCTTTCTTTATGTGGGTGCCTTTATGTATTTATTGCGCTTTGAGACCGCGTCTCCTAGGTTACAAGGGCTGGTGTGTATCGGCTGGCCTGGAAACTGACTTGTCCACGTTTCTGGAAACGAGAGGTCATTATGCAGGAATGAGAACTTGCAATCATAAATAAATATGTGCGCGCTGCTGCAGAGGTGGAGATCAGGTGAGGTAAGCTGATTTCAGCACAAATACCCCTCTATAAATTCTGTGTCCTAAGCAGGCAAGTCTAAAAAAAAAGATGCGCTTCGATCCAGACATTAGTTTTGGTGCAGAGCTGATGTTCTTGTTAACTTAGAGCAATTTTTGGGCTTTTAATTTGCTTTTCGCAAAAGAGCGAAAAGTAAAATCAGGGTCAGTACAGTAAATTAATGGTACCCCCTGCACATCACAAAATCTCTACCCCACAGACTTCTTCATCAGAAGTCACTACGGTGTGTGGATTCCAGCTCCTAGGAGAGGCCTGCAGGATTGAAATGCCCCAGCCAACCCATACATTCCACCCAGAAGGGCAGATTTTAATTGGAATTGTATCCACTACAGCTGAAAGCATTTTGGCACCCAGCGACGTGCTGCCTCGTGACCAGGCAGACTCGGCAGTGCAGGTGTCGGCGTGACTCAGATAACTCCGTTTTAACGCCAAACAAACCGAGGAGCTGCAGTGCCCGATCGCATAACCATGGCAACACAAAAAAAGAAGCCTGTGGATCATCTGTCAGGTGGAAACCAAAAACATTACATTTCCTGCATGTTCTAAATGTGTAAGCTTGTGACGAATTCACACCCACAAAAAAAAGTCCTTTTCTTTGTAAGTACGGATATAGACGTAGTGTTTTCTTTCAAATTATAATAAGTACCTGCTGTACCCAAGCCCACAGTGCGTCCTGTTTTGCAATTGATCGGAAGAGGAAATCTTGACATTTTTGGCCCCCTCTACTCCCCTGGATGCCCAGGGGATACAGTATCCTTCTGCAGAAGGCCTGGTGTCGGAGTAGGGGCAACCAGCTTGGAGCACATTTTCCTGGAAACAGACCCCGCATTAGCACTGTGAATAGAGGATTTCCTTGCCCTCTCACTCCTGTGGTTCCCAGTGTGTGCTGGCTGGCCTGGTACAGCTCGTAATGATGTAGCTGCTCGTGAGCCAGGCTGTAAATGTAACCAGCAGCAAGCTGGAATTGGCTCGCTCGTTAAAAGAAGAAAGAGAGAGACGGGAACCTCATTATAACATCCCACACAGGCCTTTTAATAACCCTGCACTCCAGCACTCCCGAATCCACCGTGTGTAACAGCGGTCTGGCGGGCAAGACCAATTAAAAAAAAAAAAGATTTCATTCAACAAGGCACCATCAGCCAGTGAGCCATTAGTCTAGAAAAAAAAAATCATTAAGGCTTTCTCCCGGCCTTTGTTTTTACTAGGAGTCTTTACTGGGAAAGAGAGATACACCTCTCAGTTTTACCATACTGGGACTGAAACAGCGCAGGCGTCCAGTTACGGCGGGGAGCTTCTCCGTGCTGGGAGTCAGACTTCCCAGACTCTCCCAGACTTCTTTAAATCGGCCGCTTGCGCTCTCTGGAGCGGAGTTCAGTTTTCCCACTTAAACCTAGATGGCAGCCATGAAAGCCTTCCTATAGGCAGAAAGTTATTTCTCACTTGCAAAGCCACACACCACACTGTCACGATCGTTAACCCCTCCTCTTAAGGACGCTCCAGCCCTTCCTTGTTCTGTCTCATTCCCCGCACCTGTTCCTTATTCGAACCCCCTTCCAGTCCGCCTTAAAAGCCAGACGCAGACGATAATCGGGGCTCTACATTGAATCCCGTTTCGTGAGAGCCCGGGTCCTGCTGCGTCTGGCTCCGTTATGATGTTAACTTTCTGTTCCTGATCCCCCCAACCGGTTCCGACCCGGTTCCAGTTCTTTATCCTGGCCATGGAGTTAAGCTTCTGTCTTGGATTACCCGTTTGGACTTCTACATGGATTGTTCGCCCCGGACTCACTCCCCCTGGACACCTGCACCCCTAGGACACGCCCCCTGTCTCCATACCCTGCATGGCTTTTTCCCCAGTGTTTCCTCGCAAATCCGGATTGTGTCGTCTGCATAGGGCCCAGAAAGAACTGTCCGGGACACACGCACTGGATTGGACACATACTTAGGGCTGGAGCTCGCGCACGGTAGAAAGCTGGTTATGCTCTGAGCTTGCCGCCTCTGTGTTGATGACTAAACCAGAGCGCTCTGAGCCAGGCCTGCTGCCAGCAGGGCAAAGGAGGAGCAGTTTGCGGCGGTCTCTCCTCCTGCTGTGTGCTCATCAAGGCTGTTTCTCCTCACACGCGCTGCTTTGGAAGAGGTGTTGATTAAGTCCATGTTGCTTTTCCTTTCCTGTTCTCCACCTATTGATTTGCCCTCCTTTCATTTTCTTTTCTCTCTCTCTCCTCCTCGTATTCCCAAAGCGGCATTCAGTATAAACAGAAATCCTTGGGAAAAAAAAAGGAGAAGAAGAAAAAAATTTTTGCAGGCACGCTTGTGGTGCTGATATTGCTGTCAGGCTCTTTGAAAGCCATCTGTGGGGCTAAAGTAAGATAAAGATAAGATTGCTTTATTGGCCCTATACAATTTCTTGCATTAGGAATTTCTTTTTTCACATTCCCCAGCGTGCTCTCCATGAGACACACAGACAGGGAGAGAAGCTTGGGGTCAGAGCACAGGGTCAGCCATTGTACAGCACCCCTGGAGCAGTTGGGGCCTTGCTCAGGGGCCCAACAGAGTAGGATTCCTCTGCCGGCTGCAGGATTTGAACCAGCAACCTTCCAGCCACAGGCACAGATCCTGAGCCACAGAGCCACCACTCCGCCCCTGAAACACTCTTAAAAGTGTTTCAAGTAGACTGAAACACTCTTAAAAGGTCCTGAAACGAGGTTTGAGAGCAAATTAATTTTCTGCCAGTAATGTAGTATCTCTCCAGAGGACAGCAGTCCGGGATTGAAGGCCCGGAGTGTCAGGCACCCCCATGACTTCCAGAGCCTCTTCACTAGAATATCACAGACAAGAAAAGCTGAGACAGAGACATGCAGACGTTGAGAGCAAACCTGGCATTGTTGCATGATGAGTTAAAGGGCAATACTGTTCACAGCCTGACACTGAGGGGTTGAAGGGGTTCTGCTGGTGCCTTTTATATGGAGTTGCAGTGAATCACTCCTGGAGGGCCTTGTGTTTAAAAAGAAATGCTGTGCGCTTGTCGATCTCTCTTAACTACCGCCAGCCATGTGGCAGGGCGTCAGAAGGACCTGCGGCAGAGCCTAATGAGCTGCGGGTGGTCAGGTGGTGCAGTGCAGGAGCCCCTCTCAGCCGAAATCCTGCTGCTCCTGTGCCACACTGAGCATCTCCGCGTCGGCGTCAGGCGGCCCTCCGGGGCGAAGGGTCAACATCTGAGGATATCGCCTGTGAAAAAAAGCCCGGCCGCTGACCATATAGATCCGGTTGCAAAGGCGAGATCCCGGTTTAGTATTTTCTCCTTCTCTGATGACAAAATGCTCATTCTGCTGAGCTGCTCCGAACATGCACTCCGGGGACCTTCTAGCTCCGGCTGACGCCGAGGAAATAAACGGGAGACGTAGGTATTGCCTGGGAAGCCCACAGATTGATTGCAGCCTGCGGGGCATCTTCATGAATGCGTCCTTCAGAGCTCTTGGTAAATAACAGAAATGAGGTCGAGGCCTCAGTGGGCTGTAGCTGTCGGATGGGGAATGTGTGCCGCATTAGTGCCAATCTGGGGGAATGAGTGATTGCGATGCACTGGGGAGAAAGGGGCCTGGCCAGGCTCACAAGCCTCTGTGTCCTGGTGCAGTAGTGCTGACACTACATTAAGGCCTTATTAAAAATTAATAACGGGCCCCCCCCTCCCTGCCCTCCCCCAGGCAATGCAATCATTAATACCTGCCTGCAATAAGGGACAAGGATTCTTCAAATCCGGTTTCAGCAGCACTGGAAGGACATGATTGAAAAGCATTCTCCGCCAAAACCCTATTATGTCCTCAGTCAAGGAGCCGGAGGGGAGCTGTCCTTCTGCTACAACACCAGCCTGTTAATGTTCCCACGGACGGATCAGTCTAAGCACCTTATAAATGTTTTATTACATCATACGGCTGCGGAAGAGAAATGGATTCGTTCAGAAGGGAAAATAGGGACACGTATTAATGCCCTTTATTTTTAGGGTGCTTTAAAACCCCTGGACGTGTTTTCGCCCCAGAGTTGGTGCAGCTGCCATTGTGTGTGGGCCGTTATCGATAGTCTGTACGTCAACTGTCTGTCTTTCCCATCTGTCGCCACGCTAATACAGTGCTGACACCGTTACTACCTTAGTAACGGTAAGAAACAGAGAAGAGATTGAAACTGGGTCTCGTTTAACGAAAAGCCAGATCACGGGGTCCTGGAGAAGCAAGGGTGAAGGATCTTTTAATGCTTATGTATTTCAAGACAGCGTGAGAGCGTCTTGGACTGTGTTTCTGCCGTCCCAGCCAGACTTTAATGAGCAAATCCAATGAACCTGATAGCACACCTGGCCGTCCTGCACAGGTTTGTATCTGAACCTGCTGGGCTGCGGTGGACAGTCAGGCCCTCCCTCCTCTCTGCGCTGCTCTGTCCAGCACGTTGCCAGTCGCTGCTGGTCACATGCAGGTCACGACCCCCAGACCCTTGGCCCCGACCACTGGGGTATCGTCCCGTCCAGTCTGCGCCTGCCGACGTCGGCCTTGCCACACCCACAGGTGGCGGGAGGAGGGGAAAATTAAGGCACTCGTCTGTTTCTCATTCTGTAAACAGCAGTGTCGGGGGCTCGGCGACACTTGGACGGCGCTCTGAAGGCAGGCTCCTTCTCGGGCAGCTCCTGACCTCGCCGGGACTGGCCGCCACCCCGTCACGGGCGAGCAGCCGCGGCCCCTCCAGCGGGAGCGGGGCAGGCCCGGGCGCCCGGCCGGAGACGCGCCGGCTGCGCCGCGGGGTTTGTTTACACACGGCTCGGCTTCGCATGAAAATCAGGTTATTAGCACCCGGGGGCCCGTAAATCCGCTTGTTGTACTAGGGGCTTTAACGCGGGGGGTCAGCGCCCCCGGGAGGAGGAGGAGGCGCGGGTGGGCGTGCCCGGCCTGACAGCGAGCGGATGGTTCCGCGGAGCCCCGCGGGAGCGCGCCCGCCGCGCCGCCTGGCTCGGAACCGCGGCGGCGTTGCCCCGCCCCCTCTCCCCACCCGGCAGCGGTTGCTATGGCAGCCAAGTCCCGGAATGTCCCGGCACAGGCTGCAGCAGGTGTAGCGGGATACTTCCGTAGGCATGAGAGGAAAACAATGTCAACACGCCCATCTCCCGATCCGAGGTCTCTGTTTATCCACATGCCTGAATATCTGTCTCCCCTCTATCACGCCATCTGCCTACTTGTCTTTTTATCTGTCTGCTTGTGTAACACAGGTATAAATATTTATTATCTCAACGTGACCACAGTGCATGGGAGGTGGAACAGTCTTCTGATTTCGTTCCAGTGACACATTTTGCATGCATCATACGTGATTAACGGTTCTTGTTTTTTTTTTTTCTCTTTACCATAGCCCTTGATTATTCTAGTACTGGGCTGCCCGGGCCTGTTTTTTTTTTTCCCAAAGAGTCAGCACTTTGTGTGCTGAGATCTGAGAGTCCATCTGTCACCTTGGCTGTCTCTGTCTCCCAGCCGCCCCCCCCCCTTCCCTGTGCTATCCCATCATGCCTCCCTGCACTTTTCATGTCCCTGTCTCTCCACTCCAGCTTCCTAACAAACAAGGCCGTGTCAGAGTTTTCTGCGGCTCTCGCGCATGACACCTGACCACGTCGCCGCCGTAATTACCCGCAACGTACTGTGCTTTTACTCGGGTATACCACGGAAGGCTCCCCCTTCGATTTCCTGAACTGCAGTCACTTTTCCAGCGCCAGCCTGCTCCCTCCTTGAAGACAAACAAAACGGCGTTACAAAGGGAAGCGAGCTTGTGTGAGTGTGTGTGTGTGCGTGTGTGTGCGTGCGTGAGAAGGATTAGTCCTGTTCATTCCGAAATCTCCTACTGGTGCTCAGCTGGGGTTTTGCTTTGTCCCCTGTCTTATTTTGCATAATGAGATTTTAAAGACGGCCCGATGTGCTAGGATGGCAATAATTCGCCTTTATGGAGCACGAGCACACAAAGAGAAGTGGGGGGGTATTAATATTTGATTAGGAGGTAATAAATCTAGTGCTACTTTATCCCAGAAGGAAATAAATCACACCCCAGAGCTTCAGCGGGCGGAGGGCAGCATGGCACATCCTCTGGAAGACGCCGGGTACCTCCCCTGTGAACCCCCGTTTCAAGGCAGAGGACAGCCCTGGGGCGCCCCCACGTGGGCATTGGGAGAGATTCTGAGAGTAGTGGACCTGGCCAGATGACAACCCCCTTTTTTTAACAAAATCAACTTTATTGCCCAACGTTTAGCGATCTTGCAGTGAGGACACGCTCTCACATAACTTAGGATCTCTACGAAGTTATAAAGGTTCTTAAAAAGGGGCGATTGTCCATTTTCAGTCCTTGCAAGTGGTTGCTGGGGCTGGATTTGCACAATCGGGCGGGGCGGTGGCTCTGTGGCTCAGGATCTGCGCCTGTGGCTGGAAGGTTGCTGGTTCAAATCCCGCGGCCTGCAGAGGAATCCTACTCTGTTGGGCCCCTGAGCAAGGCCCTGAACCCCAGCTGCTCCAGGGGTGCCGTATAAATGGCTGACCCTGTGCTCTGACCCCCGAGCTTCTCTCCCTGTCTGTGAGTCTCATGGAGAGCAAGCTGGGGTCTGCGAAAAGACAAATTCCTAATGTGAGAAATTTTGTATATGGCCAATAAAGTGATCTTATCTTATTAAGGAGTCCCTCCAAGCCCTACTGCTTGCTGTTGTCCATGTCTCTTTTCCCTGTCCCGGCTCTGAAACTGCTGTTGGCCAGTCCTCCGCAGGAGCTCAAAGGAACAGGCTTTTCTGCCTCAGCCCCTGTACAGGGCTCCACCATCCTTTCCAGTGCTGCTGTGCCACGGCCGTGTTGATCTTCCTCCTCCCTCTGAGTCTTGCCAGACCCTGTCCTCCAGCTCCCTTGCTCCCTGCTCTGTGTTGTGCCGGATGAGAGTGTCCCTCGCCTTCCACAGTCCTTGTTTCATGAGACACACTAGCAGCCACGGCAGGTCCTGTGTCCCCTTGTCCAGACCAGTTGGTGCCAGCCCCAGCAGGATGCACTGGTGACTGAGCTCCGCTCCCGCTCCCAGGAGCTGCACGATGTTGTCCATTCTGCCCCACGCCCGCTTTGGCGAAGGGGCAACTCCAGAACATGTGGACCTGCGTCTCCTCGGTGAACCACGAACCCCCGGGGGCATCGGGGGTTCCTGGTGAGCGAGTGTCTGTAGAGGACCTGTCTGGTCGCCAGCCTCTGGTGCACGGCCATCCAGTTGAGCTCCTTCAGCTTGTTGTCTAGGACCTTTGGCTGAGTCCTTTCCCAGACCTGTCTGAGAACCTGCAGCCTTTCTCCGGCAACCAGTTGCCCCCTCACCTCCTTGTACAGAGCCCTGTGGTTGGTGCAGAGCTCTGGCTGTCTCCTCGCCTCGTACCATTGACTACACTTGACAGCGTGGGTGTAGGTCTCTGACTCTACCGCTGTGGTCCCATGAACAAACACACATCGGGAGGGATAATAACTACAGCCTGACTTGTACTGGTACTGGTAATTGTGGCTAATCAGGTCCCACAGTGCCCGATCAAGAGGCTGCAAAAAACCACAGCTTGTGCTGTGATCGCAGGGGTTCAGAAATGTCACAGGAAAAGGCGATACTGTTACACCAGAGAGATGACGTCTTGTGCTCAGATCTGTCTGGTCTGGGGCCACACAACGAGGTCTTTTTCTCATGTTAGACACCCCTAACCCACCATAGTCCTGAAATAAAAGGCACAGTAGCACAGAAGTCAATTTACTTGGCAGTGAGCTCTTCCCCGATTGCTGTAGGGCAGCAGAGTGTTTGAACTTGTACGTGACCAGTGGTGGGTTTGAGTTCCCACTGTAGACACTGGTGTTGAACCTTGAGTGAGGTTCTCTGCCTCAGCAGCTCCAGCTGTAGGATTGGAGACCAGCAGTGCTGGGAGGTCATTCCTGTTAAAGACTGGCGTGCCATCCAGGAGGGGAGTCACATCATCTCTAATCTGTTTCACAAACCGGGATGAGCTGCTGTGGTTCAGAGATGGACTTCCACGATTGCTCACTTGGCACAGGCAGATATAAAGCTGGATCTGTGCTGGAAGACGAAAGTGCGCAGGTTCATTCCTCTCAGGCCACAGAGAGGAAAATCCACCCGCCCCAGATGGCTCTCCTCCCATGTACCGATGGCCCAGATCGCTTTCATTTTCCTGCTCCCCCTGAATGTAGCCACTGCAGGTCTAAAACTCCCTAGACTCTTACTGAAGAGTCTCCCAATAGAGCCCCCATGACCTGTAAAGAGCTCTGAGTGGAGTATCCAGAAAAGCGCTATAGAACTGTAAGGAGACTATTACACCTGCCCCCCACCCCGATTTCTCCCACAGATGCTCCACAACAAGCACGTGATGGTGCGCGTCGGCGGAGGCTGGGAGACCTTCGAGAGCTACCTCCTGAAGCACGACCCCTGCCGCATGCTGCAGATCTCCCGCGTGGAGGGCAAGACCTCGCCCGTGTCCAGGTCCCCCAACATCAAGGAGCTCAGCCCCGACAGCTACCTGGTCGTGGCTGCCCACTACCGGAGCAAGAAGTGATGGCTCCCCGCTCCGCCCTGGGTCCTGCGGGCCTCCAGGCCAGCAGGGGGCGCCAGCCGCCTCTAGACAGAGACACGCTTTTAATCCTAGATCGGCCAATCAGGCCCTGGCTTTCTTGTCCCAGTCAGGCAATGATATTGCAGAACACAAAACTGGCTGAAGTAGTTCCCCTCTGGAGTAATTGTATACGTACGGGACAAAAAAACATATACACGATACAGAAAAAAGGAAATTTCGATTAGGTTATTCAATAACCTATCTATACTGAATACAATGAAGAAGTCAGTAATTATTATTTTATTGTCTTCTATATTATACTGTATCTAAAAGCAGGATGGGCTATACTTTGGAGTGAGGGCGATATAACAAAGTAAATCAGTCTGGGGCTGGAATGTTTAACTGCACATTTTTGGACAGAAAAAAAACATGGGATAAGAATACTGTATTTCTGTCTCTCAGAATCTCAGTGCCTGGGAGTGAGACTGGTAATAGGATCATATGATACATGGAATGTTTTTTTTTACATATGAATCTCTCATTTTAAATGTTGCACCCTTTAATTTAGTCATATAGACCTTAGTTTTAAAAAACAATCCTAAAAAAATCGTACTAGTGACGCTCCTCATTTTATGATATATACACATTTCTATTTTGAACTGTATTTGGTAGCTATCAGGGAATTTGCCACATTTCCCTGTATTCTTTCATGAGGGGCGACATTACTCTCTTTACAGCACTACTGTATGAAAAAGTGCATGAGAGAATATCTCAAGGTTCCCAGATCTTTTCATAGGGTTTCTTAGAAAAAACTGCAAATAATTGCGTTATTGAAAAATATGTAGTCTGTCCGTCCAGATACAGCAACAGTAATGGCTGCCTTGGTGGCCCTGTATCTTACATGCTTGAAGGAGAAGATAATTGTTGTCTTCTATCTGTGAGAATAACTGGAAACTGTATCTGCTTGTATATGAATCTGTAACCAAGCTTCAGTACAGTCTAATAGTCTGGTTGTCAATTCATAACGGGACAATTTTAGAATATTCCCTCTGAAAAGAATGTTGCACCAACCTCAATAGAACAGTAAATGGCACCAGTTCCTAACTAATGTTCTAGTTGTCATTACATCTGTTATCCACCCGGTGGCATTGTACTCTATGCAAATAATAGTTTTAACTTCATGAAGGCTTTAGAGTTTTATCTTCTATGCAATAACTCCATTGAGATTGAATGTACCTAAATACCACATGCAGCCTTATTTAAAATCTTTCACAACAGTGAAGATGGTAGACCAGAGACTGGGTTTATCTGAAGAACAAATTCAAAACAAATCCTTTCAATCTGAAACAGCCGGCACACAGCGGTTTCAAGCAGAAGAAAACTGCTTGCTTACATATTTCTCCTGCAGGAAAGACAATCAAATGTGTAGGCAACATCACAGGAGTGTACATCTGCGACACAATCTACGGCAAGTTTCTTTTTAATCCGATTCTTTAGTTTTTTTTTTGGGGGGGGGGTTGGCTTTTTATGCAACAACAGATTGAAGATCTTCATATTAGAATTGCAAAAAAAAAAAGCCCAAGATACTGGACTTACTGTAGGTCAATGTATTTAAACTCCTGAATATATCATTGGAGAGGAAAGTGTTGTATTACAACTCAATAAATGACGTATGCAGA